AAGAGTCAGCTTGGGATTGCTACCCAGGTGTCTGTGATTAAGGTTAATGTATTTAGTTTTCATGTTATAACTTTGAGTTTGCTTTGACCTTTTGACACCAAACTTGCTGTGTGGCAGCTTTGGATTGTTACTTAGATATCTGGAAGCAAGGTCAAGGTAATTTGCTTACAATAGAATTTAATTAGAAATTCAACTTTTTTTAGGCTCTCATTGGGGAAAACAGATTTTAGTATTAACGTTAATATTAAGGAAATTTCATTTTAACTTGTTTTTAAGCATAAAATAAAAAAAAAGTCTACACCACTTGTGAGAATACTGTTTTTAAAGCCCACTTGATGAAATAAAATTTCATTTTACACACAAACAAACAAATATCCTCTATATACTAGGGAAGACAGTTTGGTGGACTGACTGTCAAGCTATGATCAAATAATGTGTTAAAATCTGTGTACATGTAAAAACCAAACAAATTACCACACATAGTGTTTGCTACGAAAATGGAAGAAAACACACTACAAATCTAAAGTTTTAGATTATTTTTTTATTATATTGCTTTTGATGTATCTGTATACCTTGATGGTATTTTTAGCTCACCTGTCATAAAGTGACAGGGTGAGCTTTTGTGATCGCTTTTCGTCCGGCGTCCGTCCGTCCCACGTCCGGCCGTAAACTTTTGCTTTAAATGACATCTCCTCATAAACCACTGAGCCAATTTCATCCAAACTTCACAGGAATGTTCCTTTGGTGGTCACCTTTAAAAATTGTTCAAAGAATTTAATTCCATGCAGAACTCTGGTTGCCATGGCAACCGAAAGAAAAAACTTTAAATATCTTCTTTTAAACAACCCTAAGAAATAGAGCTTAGATATTTGGCATGAAACATCTTCTAGTGAGTGTCTACCAAGTTTGTTCAAATAAAAGCCCTGGGGTAAAAATTGGCCCCGCCCTGGGGGGGTCATTGATTTTCCCTATATGCATATAGTAAAAACTTAAAAAATCTTCTTTTAAAGAACCATAAGAGCTAGAGCTTAGATATTTGGCATGAAACATCTTCTAGTGAATGTCTACCAAGTTTGTTCAAATAAAAGCCCTGGGGTCAAAATTGGCCCCGCCCCAGGGGGTCATTGATTTTCCCTATATGCATATAGTAAACACTTAAAAATCTTCTTTTAAAGAACCCAAAGAGCTAGAGCTAAGATATTAAGCATGAAACATCTTCTAGTGAGTGTCTTCCAAGTTTGTTCAAATAAAAGCCCTGGGGTCAAAATTGGCCCGCCCGGGGGGGTCATTGATTTTCCCTATATGCATATAGTAAAAACTTAAAAAATCTTCTTTTAAAGAACCATAAGAGCTAGAGCTTAGATATTTGGCATGAAACGTCTTCTAGTGAATGTCTACCAAGTTTGTTCAAATAAAAGCCATGGGGTCAAAATTGACCCCGCCCCAGGGGTCATAGATTTTCCCTATATGCATATTGTAAAAACTTAAAAAATCTTCTTTTAAAGAACCCAAAGAGCTAGAGCTAAGATATTTAGCATGAAACATCTTCTAATGAGTGTCTACCAAGTTTGTTCAAATAAAAGCCCTGGGGTCAAAATTGGCCCCGCCCCAGGGGGTCATTGATTTTCCATATATGCATATAGTAAAAACTTTAAAAAATCTCCTTTTAAAGAACTCAAAGAGCTAGAGCTAAGATATTTAACATGAAACATGTTCTAATGGGTGTCCACCAAGTATGTTCAAATAAAAGCCCTGGGGTCAAAACTGGCCCCGCCCGGGGGGGGGGTCATTGATTTTCTTTATATGTGTATAGCAAAAACTTAAAAATCTTCTTTGAAAAAAACCAAATAGCTAGAGTTTAGATATTAAGCATGAAACATCTTTAAGTAAATATCTACAAAGTTTGTTCAAATAAAAGCCCGGGGGTCAAAACTGGCCCTCCAGGGGTGTCATTGTTTTTAACTATATGTGTATAGTAAAAACTTTAAAAATCTTTTTTTTAAAAACCCAATGAGCTAGAACTTAGATGTTTAGCATGAAGCATCTTCTTATTGGTGTCTACCAAGTCTGTTCAAATAAACAAATAAAATCCCTTGTGTAAAAATTGGCCCGGGGGGGGGGGGGGGGGCTATATACAGGTGAGCGACCTCAGGGCCATCATGGCCCTCTTGTTTTATTATATTGCTTTTGATGTATCTGTATACCTTGATGGGACTCGGTCTAAAGTAGCCTAAAATGATTTTAATACAAGAAAAAGGAAATTACCGGAAAGAAATTTTGATTCTTAACTTACTCTTTGACTCATTTACCTGTAAATATCAATAAGTTGTTTAAATTAATTTAACCCTAACAGTGATTGTTTCCAAATGCCCTTTTGCATACTACTTAGGCTTCTTTATTCATTCATATGTGGCAGAAATATGATTATTATACCCCCGCACAACAAAGTTGTAAGGGGGGTATACTGGAATCAGCTTGTCCGTCCGGCCGTCAATCGGTTTTTAGCTCACCTCTCACAAAGTGACAGGGTGAGCTTTTGTGATCGCTTTTCGTCCGGCGTCCGGCCGTAAACTTTTGCTTTAAATGACATCTCCTCATAAACCACTAAGCCAATTTTAACCAAACTTCACAGGGATGTTCCTTTGGTGGTCACCTTTAAAAATTGTTCAAAGAATTTAATTCCATGCAGAACTCTGGTTGCCATGGCAACGGAAAGAAAAAAACTTTAAATATCTTCTTTTAAAAAACCCAAAGAGCTAGAGCTAAGATATTTGGCATGAAACATCTTCTAGTGAGTGTCTACCAAGTTTGTTCAAATAAAAGCCCTGGGGTCAAAATTGGCCCCGCCCCAGGGGGTCATTGATTTTCCCTATATGCAAAAAGTAAAAACTTAAAAAATCTTCTTTAAAGAACCGAAAGAGCTAGAGCTAAGATATTTGGCATGAAACATCTTCTAGTAAGTGTCTACCAAGTTTGTTCAAAGAAAAGCCCTGGGGTCGAAATTGGCCCCGCCCTGGGGGGGTCATTGATTTTCCCTATATGCATATAGTAAAAACTTAAAAAATACTCTTTTACAGAACCCAAAGAGCTAGAGCTTAAATATTTAGCATGAAACATCTTCTAATGGGTGTCTTCCAAGTTTGTTCAAAAAAAAGCCCTGGGGTCAAAATTGGCCCTGCCCCAGGGGGTCATTGATTTTCCCTATATGCATATTGTAAAAACTTAAAAAATCTTTTAAAGACCCGAAAGAGCAATAGCTAAGATATTTAGCATGAAACATGTTCTAATGGATGTCTACCAAGTTTTTTCAAGTATGAGCCCTGGGGTCAAAATTGGCCCCGCCCCGGGGGTCATTGATTTTCTTTATATGTGTATAGTAAAAACTTAAAAAACTTTTTTGAAAAAAAAAAAAAACCAAATAGCTAGAGTTTAGATACTAAGCATGAAACATCTTCTAGTCAGTGTCTACCAAGTTTGTTCAAATGAAAGCCCTGGGGTCAAAATTGGCCCCGCCCCAGGGGGTCATTCATTTTCCTTATATGTGTATAACAAAAACTTAAAAAATCTTCTTTGAAAAAACTCAAATAGCTAGAGTTGAGATATTAAGCACGAAGCATCTTCTAGTGAATGTCTACCAAGTTTGTTCAAATAAAAACCCTGAGGTCAAAATTGGCCCCGTCCCGGGAACATTAATTTTCCTAATATGTGAATAGCAAAAACTTAAAAATCTTCTTTGATAAATCTTCTTTGAAAAAACCCGAATAGCTAGAGTTTAGATATTAAGCATGAAACATTTTCTAGTAAGTGTCTACAAAGATTGTTCAAATAAAAGCCCTGGGGTCAAAACTAGCCCTGCCCTAGGTGTGTCATTGTTTTAATCTATATGTGTAAAGAAAAAACTTGAATAATCTTCTTTTAAAAAACCCAACAAGCAAGACCTTAGATGTTTAGCATGAAACATCTTCTAATGGGTGTCTACCAAGTTTGTTCAAATAAAAGCCCTGGGGTTTAAATTGGCCCTGCTCCAGGGGCCTATATACAGGTGAGCGACTTCAGGGCCATCATGGCCCTCTTGTTTCTTGTCCGCCCAATAACTTAAGATTCCTTTGACCCACAGTCTTCATATTTGGCATGGAGGTTAGTCATGACGAGTAGATGACCCCTAGTGATTTTGAGGTTACTAGGTCAAAGGTCACAGGGGCCTTGACTTCAAAAAGCTTGTCCACCCAATAACTTAAGATTCCTTTGACCCACAGTCTTCATATTTTGCATGGAGGTTAGTCATGAAGAGTAGATGACCCCTATTGATTTTGAGGTCACCAGGTCAAAGGTCAAGGTCACAGGGGCCTTGACTTTAAAAAGTTTGTGGGCCAAATAACTTAAGAAACCTCTGACCCACAGTCTTCATATTTGGCATGGAAGTTAGTCATGATAAGTAGATGATCCCTATTTATTTTTATTACACTGGGTCAAAGGTTAAGGTCACAGGGGCCTTGACTAAAAAAGCTTGTCCCCTCAAGAACTTTAGATTCCTTTGACCCACAGTCTTCATATTTGGCATGGAGGTTAGTCATGATAAGTAGGTGACCCCTATTTATTTTAAGGTCACTGGGTTAAAGATCAAAGTCACATGGACTTTGACTTCAAAAAGATTGTCCACCCATTAACTTAATATTCCTTTGACCCACTGTTTTCATATTTGGCATGGAGGTTGATCATGACTATAAGGTGACCCCCATTGATTTTGAGGGTCACTGGGTCAAAGGTCGACTAAAAAAGCTTTTCTCCTAAATTGCTTAAGAATGCCTGTCCGCAGTTTATTGTTATTGACATTTTCACATTTGAAGCATGTAAAATACATAGCACTGGCTTAGTAATCTCAGATTTGGCAGGGACATTGTCCTTGAGCTCTAAATGGCCACTGTTGATTCTGTGGTATGTGGGGGTATTCACGCCATGACAGTGGCAGTTCTAGTTGTTGTTGTTTTTCACATATAAAAAATAAATACAAAAAAAAATTTAATTGTTGCAGGGATTGGCTGGCAGGTGGAAGGTATTGAGCACAGAGGATTTGATAAGTTTGTGACGATAAAGGAAGGTACTTGTCCAGCTGGCTTCTACCAGAGTCAGCCATCCAAGTGCTATGACGCCTGTAAAGACAAACATGAACCGATAAGTCTGATTCCACTGGCATTTAAGATCGTTTCTTTGGGAAACAATACCCATCCCACAATGCTGAGGTGCAAACATGAAGATGGGTTCTACAATCCTAAGAACCAGTCGTATAACAGATTCAAACAGGGGGATTTTCAAATGGATTTCTGCACTAATGTCAGAGATTTGAATCCCTGCAAAAGTGGACAGATGCCTTTGTACAGTAAGTGCTTGCTCTTTTAATCATTTTGCATGCTTTTTATCTGACCTGAGCATTGGAGGTTTTAGGATTGATGGATTGGCATTCTGATATTTACAACCATTTCATTCATTCATCCACAATGAATTTGCATGTATTAAAGTACCTTTGATTTTTCAATTAATTTGAACTAAACTTGCATAGAACTAGGGCTGTCATTGAATATCGTGATATCATCAATATTCATCATCAGATACAATATAGATACACATTTTCAAATATCGATAGTTCGATACGAGCTAGAAATTATTTATTTCTGTTAGTAAATATATGCCTCTCAATTTTTCCTGATAACAGAAGTCACTTATTTCCAGTTTTCTAGGCTGGAACTTTAAACTAGGGATGGCAATGAATACAAAAATCAATACTCTTTTCTTTTTTTTAAGTACTCGTTCATTTTTCCTATCGAGTACTCGGTTACTCGGATGATTTCCAATGATCTCACAGTATCAACACCATATGCATGCTACTTTCGTTTTCTATTTAAATTAATAGAATTCGTAACTAAAAATAGGACTGCAGGGGAGACAAATTAATTAAGATTAATTCAACAACGTCATATTTTATGTTTTAATTAATGCAATAGCAAGTTTAAAACATGTATGACAGTTCATATATCTTTTTTCTTCTTGAAATAATATAGACTGATCGTCTGCAACAACAGTTTAAAAGGGGTCTAAAAGCTAGTTACCTTTATTCTTACATTCATAATAACAATCGGCCCTTTGTTGTTCTCAAAATAGTTACTTCAGCTATAAACTGTTACTGAATACAGGGTTCGACATTAACCGGATCCCGAGATTCCGAGGATCCCCAAATGTCGGGAGGAATCTCTGTGATTCCTAGCTGGGGATTCCGTTGGGATCCCTGAAAAATTGCTGTGTTTAATTTGAAATTGTCTGAATTAATATCATTGAATCACAAATATTCAAGAAAAGTGTTAATTAAGATTGACACACCTGCAAGGTTCAAGAAAGAAAAGAAAAATCCCTCCGGTAAAATCTACACTCTTGAATCATGTACGCCAGTTTTTCTTTATGCAGTGACTGCTATCAACTCATTTGCGATATATAATGAAAAATATTTTAGCTAAAGAAACATTCTTGAATAATTTTATATCATGCATTGACTTCATAATATTAAGTTGTGAAATTCAAAAAAGAAATGTAAGTATCGTATAATTATTACACAAGTGGTGTATACTTAATATATGTGCTAATCGGCGCTGCCGGCGGTAGCTTCGAAGTTAACAAGTGTTTGCTGTTGTTTTTTGTGTGTCAAATTTGGCATTTGAGATCATTGTAAATTTTTGTAAAAATACTGGAAAAAAAAAAGAATACTGATGTATTTTTTTCTCCCTGCAGTACAGCAAAAGTATAATTATTAACCTTTTCCCTCATATAAGGGTGTTTCGATGGCTTTTTGCCCCCCCCCCCTTTTTTTTGAGGCCTCAAACAGTGAAAAAATGCCCTAAATAGACCCCAAATACTGGTTTCCGTTTGAAAAATGTTGTTAAAAAAGTGACCACTTTTTCGGCACCGTCCCCCATAAAAAACAACAATTTTTCATCAAAATTCAGTGTTAGGGCATGTGTTAACATGGAAAATCTAGTTTTTGGGTAATTTCAAGGTTTTCTTCATTTTTTGTTAACCTTTTCCCTCATATAAGCGTGTCTTGACTGCTTTTTGCACCCCCTTTTTTGAGGCCTGAAACAGTGAAAAAGTGAAAAAATGCCCTATTTAGACCCCAAACACTGGTTTCCGTTTGAGAAATGTTGTTACAAAAAGTGACCACTTTTTCGGCGCCGTCCCCCATCCAAATATTACATCAGGTGGTTGCCAGAAGGGGGATGTGCCCCCTTCTGTTTGGGGGGTTTGAAGGGGGGCGGAGTCCCCCCCTCATCGCCAAGAAAATTTTGGAATGTGATAGGCTAAAAATGGCCTCAGGTCGATCTTAGGGTTACTAGTAACCGACGCTGAAAAGCCTTTTACTCTATCTCAATTCATTGTTTGAAATCAGTTTTGATGGAAAGAAACAATGCAAAATAGTGATTTTTGGCAATTTTGAGACGTCCCCCTGTTGCCATGGTAACAGGAAATTTACCATTGAGCATGCTGTCACAGAGGCTATGGTGTAGTAACATTTGTGCCAAGTTTCATTAGTATTGAAGCATTTTTCATAGTTTCATAGCAGTTTGAACTTGTAACAGGAGGCTTTTCAGTGAAAACAGCCATTTTTCGAATATGCTCATGGGGTAAAAGGTTAAAGTTATTCTGTTTCTGTGCATGTAAATATTGTATTATGTTTTAATTTATCTTAGCAGTCCAATTATATATATATATATATATATATATATATATATATATATATATATATATATATATATATATATATATATATATATATACTAGTAAAGAAAACACTTTGAAACACTTTTAAAACTTTAAAGATAATTATACTATGCTCATTATTGAGTAAAATATTTTAATGAAAGAAATTTATTACAACCTATGTAATTCTTACTGAATATGTCTAATTTGAATAAAAAATGAATAAACAATGCATTAGAAGTCATGTTCTCTATTTATAGGACAGGTAAAGTTGGTCTTTCCTTAAAAAAACTGCCAGTTTTTTTAACGACACAATATATTCATACTGTAATGACCTGTAGTGTGTAGAGTTTAAAACATGACATATCAACTTTGTGTAAAGTCAAAACATGTTTATTTCATATTTACAAAGAGACTGTGTAGCAATTATCAATATTTTCTGATATCAAATTTGAGCATAGTATATCTTTAAACAGCAATATATCCAAAGGGCTCATATGGCCAGTTATGTGTTGACGTGCCGTAAAAATCCAAACAAACAAACAAAAACAAAGGGCTCATAAACTACATTTTCTGCATCTGTACAGTATGTGGTCTTAAAAAAAAGAATTTGAAATCGGATTGCTGCACTCCCTTGTTATTCTTCGCCTTCATATTTTACTATTTTGATCTGAGGAATCCCTGACGTTTAGGAGGAATCCCTAAATTAAATCTCAGGGATTCCTATGGGATCCCTTGTAAAAACAGTTAGTGTAAAACCCTGGAAAATCATAAAAGCTGGATGACATAAGCGACATAGATGCGCCTGGAACCCTTGATCGCCTATCATTTTCCCACCTCTGCGAGGATGTTTTGATTACATTTAACAGGTATTCAGTGAAGATACATGCATATCTCCGAATTTCTGAACTAATTGAACTAATCTTTCTAAATGGTAAAAAAATTTAAATTATATATTTTTTCAGAGTATGATCGAATATCAATTTTGTTAACCGATATTCCGATTGAGTACCTGATTAACTGGTAACTTGTTGCCATCCCTACTTTAAACCCTGTTTTCAAATGTCAGTGACAAAAATAACAGAAAAAAGAAATTTTCTGTTTGTTTGTAGTATTTCTAGTCTAATAGAATCATGCATAACACCATGATCCCAATTTATAGCACACATTTAAATGTTTTTCATTGTTACTTCTGTGATATATCCATATATCGTCGATATTTGTCTCTCGATAAATCAATACAAAATTGTCCCTCAATGACAGCCCTACATAGAACTTGTTTATTTGATCTAAACTTGCTTAGAACTTGCATGACGGTTTCAAACACACGCATGAATATAATAATCACAAAGGCCAATAGACCTAAGTGATTAATTACAAAGCATTTAAACTATAAACTGTGCGTTATTTACTTTAATATCTATTTCCATTCTTACAATTATTCTATAACAATGCACTCAAAATTGATATCTGCGTTTGTTCAAAAAGTAATAGGACTGCAGTTCTACTGTAAACATTTTTTAATTGACATGCACAATTTTACAAGAAAATAATATTGGAAAATATCCTCTTTATGCAGTGAAAAAATCAATAAAATATGTTTAAAAATAAAAAGTCTGTGAAAATTTCAAATTACAAGGGGAACGCGACCTGGGGAATGATAACGATGACGTTCCCGACGTCGTAAAATAAAAAAAATGTAACAAGCGTCATTCCTCCTGAAAGAATTCTCCCTAGTGTTTTAAGTGTCTGAATCATGTAACTATTACCAGACCTCATATGTGGAGATGAAGCGAGAAAGAAAATAATCATGTCTCGTTCCACTCTCTGAAAAAAAAATGCCCAATAATAAGCCTGCGACTCTCCGCTTTATCTCATATTATTATAGTAATCAATATAGACTAATAAACAGGTATTAACTTAACGATATTAATGAAAAATGTTTTATAGAATGAATTTACCCATATCATCGGATGTTTTTAAGACAATATTAAATATCAAGTTAAATATCAAATGAAAAGTATTTTTTCCTACTAAGGGCAGCATATCATTTTTAAAAAGACAATCTGGGGAAAAAATATTAATAATTACAGTAAATCATTATTATATTGATTTATTGATAGCACGTAACGTATATCTAGTTTATTGAAACTACGAGGGATGATAAAAAATAAAGCGGACTGTGACTGGCAATTGAAGAATTTTCATCCTATCACTTATTGTTATATATCACATGTAATCGGAAAACAATACCTGTAAACTGATACTATATCTAATCCGATAACGCAAATAGCTTGTCCGTAACAGCCAATTCAAAAACCATGGTAACGCACACCCGGCGCAGTGCGTAAATTTGCCTTGACATGAGGCGCTTTTTGCTGCGTGTATTTTACAATATGGCACATTTAGATTTCAAAATACGCCAAAACGTCATGTACAATATCTTTGACGTTGTCAGTAAAAATGACTTCATTTAAACCATATTTATATTTACAATGACAATTCAAACGTCACATGTTAATGAAATACTTGCGTTAAAACTATGTCGTCGGAATGTCTCGAAAATCGATCAATAGGAAAAATTTGTCAAATGTAAGACGAGAAACTGTTTAAAACGTAGAAAAAGATTATGGC